TCTATTAATCAATTCACTGTGATTCCAAGTCACTGTTTAACCCTACGTCTATTTACTTTTGTCAACCCTTTTCGCACTTTCTTTTCGCTCTCTCTCTCTCTCTCTCTCTCTCTCTCTCTCTCTCTCTCTCCTTCTTCTTTTCTTTTTTGATCTATTATTATTTCTTGTCTTTCGCACGCACCCCCTCCTTTTTTTTGTTTGTCGTGTTGGTTGTNATTACATGTCGTCTTAGGCGAGCACACAACCCATTGAGTTGGGTGTCTTTTGGGGGTTGGCTCTCTATAGTTGGGGGGTACTTCTGCTGTGTGACTGAGGAGAGGTGACTGGCAAAGTGTTAGTTACATGGGACGCCATTCTCCGCCGCCTGGCACGTAATTTGCTGATTTTGAATTTCGTCTGCGACGGCGGCAAATGAAATGCTTCTGCATTTTAATGCTCCCCAGACTGACAGCTGCCTGCCTGCCTGCCTGCCTGCAGCACGTTGCTGGGCGGAGGGAGTGCGGAGAGGGGTGCTGCCTTCTCTGGGGTCGTCTCTCCGAGTTGATCTCTTTCGCTTTGCATTTCGTTATATTTTTATTTCATTTTATACACCACGTATGTAGGGATACTCTTGTGGAGAGTACATGGAATACTTTTATCAAAGGAGAAGAAAGTTTTTAGTGGCTTCAGAGTGGAATATATCCTCCATCAGCAGGCTTAAAATCCTGTGTAAAAATCAGTTTAAACCCGAAAGATTGTGTTCATCCTTCATAGAAATATTTCTGGAAAATCTTGTATCCTTTGGCTAATTTTCAAATCGAATCAATCTGTGTGAGAGCATCAAAATCTTCGCAGCTAACTGGGTGCTCCTTCTTGGTTTTTTGTTGTTTTTTTGGGTGGCAGAAAAACTATTTGTTGCTGCCGCCGCTGCTGTCAACTGCAGGGGGAGGCTGGGGATTTTGTGGCTGTGCCTGCAACTGGGGGCTAGCAGCCCCGCCGTTTGGTGTGCGACCCCCTTGCCACTTTCTTCTCTTTTTTTTGCGTAACCCCATCCCTGGAACATATTTGCACTGTCTGGCAATTTTTAAGCAATTTCATCTCCAGCTTGGGCATGACTTGGCGCTCGCTTTGGGTGGGACAAACTCTGGCACCGCCCCGCACCATTTCCCGACGGCACTGCATCCTGTTTAAATGTTTTCCCTTTCCTTTTCCATTTTGTTCTTGTTTTTTGTTGTTTCTTTTTGTACAGTTGCTTTGGTAGCAAGGCGCCCAGGGGTACCAAGCGGTGGGGGGAGGCACGGGCCCAGGCACAGGCACAGCGCGTCGTCGAAATTAAAAATAAATTTCACAGTAAACACACATAAAAAGAGACGCTGCCATGGATGATGGCACTGGAACCAGGGGTGTCAGGGTTGTCAGGGTTGTCAGGTTTGTTTGTGAGGCGACGGGGGCTGTGGGGGAGGGGCAGCTATACATCCGATTAGATTGATCGAATCTCGACCGGAGATATCCTCCGCCGACCAGCTGTTTTTCTTTGCCATAAAAATTAAATAAAATTCACAGTACAAATCAGCTGTTCATCTACGAATTTGGTATTAATTAAAGCAAAGTTTCGCTGACTTTGTCCTGGATATCCCTTCAGAAGTACAAGGAGTACGAGAAGTGTGTACAAGAAATTCCCAGGGGGAAACAGCAGCAACGTAGTGCCAAAAGCCGGACGTTCAGAAATAGTTCGAGGAGACTGGGGACTGGCAATGGATTCTGCAGATTGGCGGTGTCTCAGCGCAGTGCGACTCTGCCCTTGAATACCATTTTGGTGGGGGGTTGCAGCACGGAGCACGGAGTACGGAGAATCGAGAGTGGATGTAGTGGAGAAGCGTGCCAAGAGAGGGAGAGGCAATGGGGAATGGGGAATGGGGGGACCCTGGACTTTGGATCGGAATGGTTCGGATGGCTGTGCTGTCTGGGTGGGGGCAGATCAGAGAGTGTAACTTGCACGTCTGATGCTTATATTTAGCAGCCAGGCAACAATGATGGAAAATCCAAAACCGGCAGGCTAGCAACAGCAAAAAGCGAAGTAAAATGACAAGCAAGGAAAAGCAGAGACTGGGCACCGGGAGAGGAAGTGATGTCTCTCGACAATGCAGTTGCCATGGCGAGTGGATTGTGGAGAGTGGGGCTGGGTGCTCTACGGCGTAACCCTCGTATTTATTCGAAAAACCCCCCTTAATGAGCGGCAAAAACTGTCAACTAAATGATGGGGAGCGAATGGAGAAGAACAGGGAACAGGGAACTCTGAAGGAAAGGATTCCGATTTGATTTGATGGAATTGAAATTGACTTCGAGTGGGCAGGGGACCGTTAAGGACCGTTTTCGTGCTCTAACAATAGATTAAAGAGCGCCAGTGACAGCTGCGGACAAAGGAAATAACTTGAGAAAGTTCATGGGGAATTTAGCGCCCCTAAATGGGAACTCAAAGAAACGAATTCCCCAGCAATCTGCCGGCAAATATACGAAGTTAAAGCTTCAAGAGATGCGGGAAATATTCTCTTAAGCAAAGGAAAATTTTGTGTGCCTACGGAGGAGAGCCACAGTTCCCGTTACATGGTGTTAGATTAATTTAAAAATATATTAAAAAAAGAGCATAAAAGTGTTTAGTTTTATTTATTTCTAATTGGAAATATTTCCATTCTTCGGTGGAACTCTATCTTGTAGTAGGTCCCAAATTTATGAGATCTCTGTTGCTCCTTGTTATCGGTTGGGTAGCTCTGGTTTTGGCTCTTTTTTTTATGATGCATAGCGCTGAGATTGTTTATAAACAATAAATGGAATGAGAAATTGAAAACTGGTAGTCAAGCCGCGATTGGAAATGGATTTTCTTATCCGCAAGCAGATAAAAGGAGAGAGAGGTACACACACATGTGCATCCATCTCGCTCTGTCGGCTTTTATTTTTTTTGTTTTTTTTTTGGGTAAATTTAGAGCTAAGTGAGTGAAGGAGAGGAGGGCACAGAAACGCATTGATATTCCCATGCGGCGGCAATAAATTACGGGACAATTACCCATCGAAAACGAAGCAGTCGAACGGCGGAGGAGCGGAGAAAGCAACGCCAAAGAGAACGAACCGAAATAAGCAGAAAATTGGAAAAGAGCGCAACGCTGCTGCCCCCCGACACTTCATCACGACGCCGCCAGCGCCGCCGCCACCGCCCCGCCTCCACAGCCACTAAGAATTCTGTCTCCCGCTCTCTCACCCGCCCTCACACGCGTAGTTTAAATTGCGCTCACAGCAATCGTGCCATAAATTTCACCCCCCCGCCACTCCCCCACAAACGGAAAAGTTGTTTATTTTTGGGTCTACGAAAATGTCTCTGCTGCTGCTGCAATCTTCTCATCTTCCAATCTCACATCTCCCCCCCCCCACCGACAGAGTCTCTCTCTCGCTCTTTGTGTATCGATTCAATTATGGAACATTTCCGAATCGACTCATCATGCAGTCGATTGATTAACAAGTACACCAGGCATAGGAAACCTTCTTTGGCTCCCACAGCGCCAGACCGAATGGGTTATATGTATGTAGTCCAAGTCCGATCGATCTTGGATCAAAGCTCCACTTCCCACAAAGTTCTACTTCCCATAATATTCAAAAAGGTGCACCATATGTTGCTGTCCAGAGGTTAGGCCAAAGGCAGAGCACACTGCTTACCTGTGTGGTAGAGGGGGAGCACTGCTTACCTGAGCGGAGCCATGCTGATTGCCAAAGAGCAAGGGGCAGGGCAGGGTAGGGTAGGGTAGAGTGATGTGGGTGATTTGCCAAAAAGGAGAACAGCTGCTGCTGCTGCTGCCGCAGTGGAGGTGTCATGACAGCATTGACCTCTGCAGCTCCACCAGTTGTTGGTGGTCCACACTTTGCTGCGGCGCGGAAAGTGGCGCATCTAACAGCAAATCAGTTGGCAATTAAGGTCCAGATGGCCAGCGAAAGCAGAGAGCAAAAACTCATTCACTGCTCCTTCCTCTCCACCAATTCCTTATCAATTTCTTATCGCTTGCACAAGAAACAAGAAACAGCCACTAGCAGCGTTTTAACAGTGGTCTAGCAGTGGCCCAACAGCTGTGCAACCGATCTGCCATGCAACATGTGTTTTGCGTCAGGCACGTTGGCATCGAACCTGAAAAACGTTGGTATCGAACCTGAAACTCGCTCGCTCGACGCAAAAATGAGCACAAACATGTCCAGACTCAAACTCAAACGCAAAAATGAGGAGAGAGAGCATCTTGCTCTCTCTGCTGACCAAAAGGTATGTACCGAAAGGTATGGCAAGTAAGTAAAAAAGGTCGAAATTGTTTTAGGCTCCCACCCTTTTCGCACCTGTTGAGAGGATCCCTAATAGTGCATGCGAGAGCGTCTGGCAGGAGCGAATTTCCCTGACCGTTTACACACAGGAGAGGATTTCCTTGGAGAATTTCCATCACGGGGGATGAAAGTCGCAGGGTGTAATTCACATTGCAAGCCTGAATTCTGTATGACGCATTTACCCGTTGTCGACACCTTATTTTCCATCCTCTGTTTCCGTCCCTTCCCATGATAAGAGAATGAGTTTGTATGGTGAAGGGAACAAGCGCTTCATTCAATTTCATTCAAGCATTCAATTCCATGACATGGTCGAGGCACGTCTATCACGTTTTTCGTTATTATTCACGGGTGTATTCGTCGTGTTTGTCGTGAATCTTATGGAAAACCTTCGCTAATGAATTTATTTTTTAAACCAACAAAATAAAAACTTGCAAATAAAGCAAAATAAAAAAGGGGAGAAAACTAATGCTAAAAGTGAATCTGCATGTTTGGATAATTGTGTGAAATTTTACAGAGTGACAAATCTCAAGAAAAAGTGGAAAGATTTCAACCAAAGAACGAACCTCGGCATTCAAAAATAAACAAACAAATGCAATGTAATTTTTTTATAATTTTGTTTTGTTGCTGCAAAAATTCCAAATAATTGCCAGAAAAGCAAATACAAATAAACAGCAGTGCCAGAACCCAAAAAAAAGGAAATACTCTTTTTTTTTTTTGGTGTGGATTACCAGTGAAGGAAAAAGTGAAGTTAAATGGATTAAAAAAAAAATACAAAAATAAAACAAATAGAGGAAGAAAAGGAGAGAGAGAGAGAGAGAGAGATATTATGCAGTGTTCCGGCATAAGGATCCATAAAGTCCACCACGCTGACTGATAAATCAGCAAAAAAAAAAAAAGATTTTTGGCTCCAGAAAACTTCAAATAAAACAACGACTGTGAGTAGCATTTGTGTTGTTTTTTTTTACTGTTAAAAATATAAATTAGGCACACAATTTTTGGATATTTTATTATAATTGTTTCATTATTTTGTTTGTGCTTTAAAAACTCTGCCAAAAATGCAACAGTCGACCGCAAGCGCAGCTGCTGCACTTTTGGCTCAACTTTGACATTTTCTTTGGTTTTGTGTAGGGTTTGCTTTTGTTTATTAAATCTGACATTTTGCCTGTTTTTGTCGCTGGGTGGCTGAAGATTAATTGGTGCAGATTTCCTCACAGAACTATGTGCAATGCAGTTTCAATTTTCAAACATTTCTAAATTCTTTCCATCAAAATGTTGGCCAGAATTGCCCAGTGCCAAAGCATTTATTTGCAGAGTTGTTTGTTTTGTTTTGTTGTCTTCTCAAATGCGAAAACAAATAAAAACGAAATATATTTAGAGGCTTTTCTTTGTAAATGTTTTCCTGCAGCTAATCGACTTCTGCAACAGTCAGTCCATCAAACTGATGCTCCGCTTGAAGAGTCTCTGCCTCTGCCCCGTCGTTCTGGTCCTCTTACTTTTGCATGATTTATGGATTACCTCAAAAAACGATTAACCGTCGTCGCAGGCCATTTAGTAACGAACAAAAAAGCAAAGGAAAAGAATTATATAAATATACGAAGAAGTTTTTGTGGCTTCGATTTGCCCCTGCGGCTGCAGTGTCAATGCCAGAAGCTGGGAGGCTGGGTCTGGGTATCTGTATCTCACAGATACAGCGAAGAGCACGCACCTGTTCCTAGTCATTAAAAGAGTTTAAACGAGACAAAAAAGGGCACAGAGAAAAGTTGTAGCTCGGGGCTCGAGGCTGCTGGCTGCTGGCTGCTGAGTCTCCCTTCTGGACCAACCTTAAGCTTGCCAGCAGCTTGGCACCTGCTTATACCCTGTACCTCTGGGCACTGCCTTTTGTCGCATATATTTTCGCAGAATATTCATAGGGTATCCGCGCAGTCGTTGGCTGCTTTTTTGGATTTTATAATTTGGCCCAATTTGCTGCAAATGTCTGAAACAATCGACGGGTGCTCAGCGGCGGGCAGGGGGGCAGGGAGCGGAAGTGCAACATGCTCGTGTCGCAAGTTTGCTGTTGTGGCTCCCGCTTGTTGCAGATATTGATTGCCGTGGCACGGCCTGCCTCTGCTTTTGGATCGTTTTGACGCGTCCTCGTCAGCATGTCGAAACTTATTTCTCTCCTCTTTTCCCCTTTTCCTTTTTCAATTTTAGTTTCGGTTTTTTGCTGTCGCTTTGTTAGTTCTTTGCATGCCACAAATTATGTTTCGGTGGCGCTGCCTCACCTTGAGAGTCCTGTCAGTCCTTTTTGACAGTTTGCCACTGATTTGACTGGCGACGGCTCCCCCTCACGAGGCATGCCACAACCCCCCTGCAACCCTTTGGGCTTGCTGTTCTTTTCTTTTAATAAATAAGTATTTTTACCTTGATTGAATTAATAAATATTCCTCGTAGTGCCAGAGGCGCTTTCCCCCTTCAGCTAATTTCCTGACTAATTTCTCGAGTCAGTCAGTGGAAGGGGGGGGGAGGGGGGGGAGGAAAACAATTTATCCCTTGGTTAATTTGGTTAATTGAAGACAATTGAAAGCCGCTTTGCAGTTCATTAAGCCCCATCAGTTGTCTTCAGTCTTCAGTCGTCAGTCTGCAGCCTCCAGCCCCTCGTCTAAGCTGCCATCCAGCCATCAGCTGCCTGCCTGCCGCTTCGTTCTTTTCTTGCCCATTGCTTGTTGTCTTGTCGCCGGACTAATTAAAATATTTGCACTCAAATGCTTAAGCAATAAATATTTGTCAAGCTATCATCATTAGGCGGGTGGCCAGGGACAGGGGCAGGGAGGAGACTGTGGCCTGACCCCAAAAGAAAAAAAAAAAAAAGAAGAAAAAGTGAAGCCAAAGCAGCAGCACTTTGGTGTTTGGAAATGGAAAATGTGTATGAAAATCTATGAGAGCGGCGTTTTAAAAGTGCCCTCCCCCCACGCCACTCTCCCCCCCCCCCCCCCCCCCCCCCCCCCCCCCCCCCCCCCCCCCCCCCCTGCCGACAGCCGGCTTGGCCTGCATTTTTGATGAGCTTTAATGGCGCCGCCTTAATGCAAGTGAAGCAGGCCGCAGCCAGCCATCGAGGGAGAGCGAGCGAGAGATCCCATCGAGAATGCCAATTAATAGTCATTGATGGGAAAAGTTGTGCCAGGAGCAGCAGCAGCCGATTGAAGTGCGCCTGCCCCCCCCCCTCAAGTCAATGAGAGGCAGTGAGGCAGGGTGGGGGGGNAAGACAATTGAAAGCCGCTTTGCAGTTCATTAAGCCCCATCAGTTGTCTTCAGTCTTCAGTCGTCAGTCTGCAGCCTCCAGCCCCTCGTCTAAGCTGCCATCCAGCCATCAGCTGCCTGCCTGCCGCTTCGTTCTTTTCTTGCCCATTGCTTGTTGTCTTGTCGCCGGACTAATTAAAATATTTGCACTCAAATGCTTAAGCAATAAATATTTGTCAAGCTATCATCATTAGGCGGGTGGCCAGGGACAGGGGCAGGGAGGAGACTGTGGCCTGACCCCAAAAGAAAAAAAAAAAAAAGAAGAAAAAGTGAAGCCAAAGCAGCAGCACTTTGGTGTTTGGAAATGGAAAATGTGTATGAAAATCTATGAGAGCGGCGTTTTAAAAGTGCCCCCCCCCCCCCCCCCCCCCCCCCCCCCCCCCCCTGCCGACAGCCGGCTTGGCCTGCATTTTTGATGAGCTTTAATGGCGCCGCCTTAATGCAAGTGAAGCAGGCCGCAGCCAGCCATCGAGGGAGAGCGAGCGAGAGATCCCATCGAGAATGCCAATTAATAGTCATTGATGGGAAAAGTTGTGCCAGGAGCAGCAGCAGCCGATTGAAGTGCGCCTGCCCCCCCCCCTCAAGTCAATGAGAGGCAGTGAGGCAGGGTGGGGGGGGCACAGGCCATGTGTGATGCCACCCCTTGCAGCCGTTGGACTCGCTTTTCGGGGGGTTGGCAGGCGCCCAAAAATCAGAAAAATAAAATGCGGAATGGGGACAAACATCAAATTAGTCCACAAAACTGGGTGCCAGGGGGAAGCGAGCCAAGACTGAGCTCAAATGGGCATACAATTTCCTTATTGTTGATCCATTGAGGGGCCGCACAGAGCGAAATGTATGCCATATGGCAGGAAAAAGCGGGAGGACAAAGGGGAAGATGCGAACTGCTCCCAAATACGTGCTACAAAATGATGCACAAAATGTTAATTGCGGCAGAACTGCTTCCAGCAGTTGGCCAGAAGCGGAGCTCCACCCTTGAATGTTTTTCGCGCCTGAAGTCCAAGTCCAAGTCGAAGTCGAAGTCAAAGTCAAAGTCAAAGAAATTGCAAGCAACTTATGAAAATGTTTTACAATATCCTTTTCATGTTATTACAAGTGTATGTCCTTGTCGTCAGCTTTGTCAAAATGTCTGGCAACGCTTCCACTTCCTGTTAGCCCAGCCACCCGCAAGCAGCTTCTTGGCTCCTTTGGGGCGTCGTCAAGTTTTGCGCTGCGTTTGAATATGTCATTATACACTGCCCCAGAGGAGGGTACCATCGATGCCACAAGCAGCACTTCCCTTTTTTAATAATAAATAAACTGAGCAGAGTATCAGCAGCTTCGAGTTGCTCTTGGCCAAATGCCTCCTCCCTCTTGTCGCTGCTGTTGTTGCCGCCCGCGTGCAACCCTTCGCTCCTTGCCATTGCCAGTGCCTGCTGCTTGTGGTGTTGGAAGGAACCCCATCCCGCCCAACGGAAGTGACAGTTGAACATTCATTCATTCATTCATTCATTCAGCAACCACTCCACACCCACACACACACCCGCTCATTCGGAAAGGGGAAAAATCAAGCCGAAAGCAGCGACCGAACAGGAACCATAAAGGAAGAGCTTGACGTTCCAGAAGTAAAGTGAAGCAGGCAACAGAAAAAAACAGAAAATATGTGAACCAAAAGCGAGAAAAATAAAGTAAAAATATGTACAAAAAAATGTCTATGGCAATTTGGTTACCGAATTTCAAGCAGTGCGACGGGAAAGGGTGGAGAGTTGGGATTGGAGATGGCTGCGTGAACTAAATTTCAAATAAATAACCAAAGCCATAGATAGGGCAAGTGAAGTGTCCCATAGAATATCATTTGTGCTCGTGACTTTGGTGCCTTTTGCCATCTCTAAGCTCAGCAGCAGCAAGGAGTAAACCATGTGCGATGTCTTCGCCTTCGTCCACGACAGGAAACACAGCGCAATGACTGAACGGAAGTTTTTTGGAAGCGCATAAAATTATTATGGAGTCGTCTTTCCTTACATTTTTTGTGTTGCTGCTGCTGCTGCTGCTCCCGCTCTGCCCGCTCTGCGCTCGCGGACGTGGACGCGTCAATTGCGGCGAATTCGGGTTCGGGTGCGAGCTTCGGGCGGGAGCTTCGTTGCGGCGCTGCTGGCACTTCATAGTCTCTGCCGCTGCTTTCTTTCCTACTGCCCGTTCGTGGGACCTTTGTGAGAATTCACTTTAGTTTTCGGCAGTTACTGGGCGATTGGTTCAGTTTGTCTATCTGCCCTGCCTGCCTCCTCCACTCTCTGTCCCTTTGCTCGTACTATTATTTTTATGCGCAAATTTAATATTTACATTTAGCCAAAGTGGATTTTGGGCTTCCACTTCCACTTGGCTATCGTTGACTCTAATTTCTTCGTCTCCGACTCTCTCTCGCCCTCTTTCCCCTGCAGCATTTTTATCAACTGACAACTTCTGACCGCAGAATGTTCCCCTCAAAGATGTATCTACAAGATAAACAAGAACAAGCAGCAGCAGCAAAAAATAAAATGGCTTTTAGATAAGCCCAAAAAGTTTTGCCAGCATAAAGAGGAGCTCAAGGCAGGGAGTGGGGGACTGCCTCCTGCATATGAAATATTTCTGTGGTCTTGTGTGAGGCCGGACGGACAGCCGGACAGATCTCAGGCACCATCCCATTGCGTTTCTTTCAATCAGATTGCAACGAGAACTCCCACATTGATTAGAGGCAACTTTTGTGGCCTGCAAATGTTCGCATCCAGAAGCCCAACGATTATTTGTTTGCTCAGACAATCGATCCATTAAAGGCAATCATAAATTATGCTTTTAATTTATAATTCTCATAAATTCGCAGCTTCAATAATTAATGTTTTTTCAAGCAAAATATAGATAAAAAAACCAATTCCATTATGCGCTTTTTACACCTTCTTTTTTGCACTGAGAAATATTTAAGGCAAAACGTTTTTTTTTTTTGTTAAGTTAAAATTATTAAAATATAAAAATTTTAATGCTCTAATTTTAATGGAGTTGAATCTAAATGCATTTTATTTTTTATTATAATTTGTGTGTTTTTTTTCTCTAATTTTTGTATCTGTTTGCACTGCCCCAAGGCTTTCGTCGAATATTTCTAATAAATAATTCAGCTTTAGCTTTTTTTTTTTTTGGGCTATGACTCATTATGCAGCCACCCCTGCAGCACGCACCCCCTGCCTTAAGCCCCTTCCTTCCGCCTTTATGCTCTAGTTTAAGTTTCGATTTTGTTTTGCTTGTTGTTTAGTTTTTATGAGCGCTCTCGGACAACTCCCCCACCAGCCCGTGTCCACCCTCTCTTGGCGTATGAGTCATGCAATTGTCTGACATCTGGAGGAACTCCCCCGCCCACACCTCACCCCCCCCTGGGATATGCCATCCCCCGTTGTGGATGTGGATTACCCTTGCTGGGTAAATCGTTAAATTAGCAGCTGACTCTCGGGGGCTGCAAACAGCTGACGTGGCAGCTGTGTGTGGGTGGAGGTTTTGGGTTTGGGTTTGGGTTTGGGTTTGGGTTTGGGTTTGGGGGTGGCACGACTGAGTCCTGAGTGGAGTTCGATATTTGTATTTATTCCTTGCTCTCGTCTGCCCCGCGTTGAATTTGTAAAACATTTGCAAGTACACGAGCGACAAACAGGCAACCACTTAACGCTCGTTGCCACCACGCTCATCCATTTTGTAGTCCGTGTCCTGCCATGTCCTGGAGTGCGTTTTGCCACCGCCTGTCCCCTGTCCCCTGTCCCCACCAGTGGCAGCTGGAAAAAAGGAAAGGAGAGACAATCGCCTGATTCGGCTTTGGCTTTCCGTGCCACACACGTTTTGTATTTTCTTTCTTTTCATTCATTCATTCATTCATTCAGTTGTTCCTGCTGCCGTATGTATATTTATTTTTTATTGTGTTGCATGTTGTGTTCCTGTCCCAGTGCCACACACACACACACACACACACACACGTGCAGTTATGTCTTTTCTAACCCTCGCACTGGCACTCCTCCTTCATTCCATGAATCATGGCCCTGCAGTCGCTCAGGTGTGAGTGTAGCCAGGGGGGTTACCAGAGGGCCACCAACATATCTGTGGTTACACTTATAGAGCTCCGCACGGACAGCCCGCAATGCTTCAATCAATTTTCCAATTTGTGGCAGCCCTTTGCCCATTCGGCAGCTACGTACAAATGTACATTGTGATGTAAGGCTGTAGGTAAGGATGTAAACGATTCCTTTTGCCATAACCCAAAGAAACGAAGGCAAACTCCAAGTCCCACAGCCATTTGCTCATAATATATTTTCATTGCAACAATTACCAAAGATCATAATAGAAAATTAAGTAGAGTAAGGGACACACACGCCACAGACAAAAGGACACACGACACAGAGGACACAGAGAAGGCAACGGCATTAAAATGTCGATTGTTGACTTTTTTTATGCGAAATATGCGTGATGCCCGACAAGTTGTTCGTTGGAGCGAGAGGACTGAGTGGGGGTTCTGTGTGTGGGTACATTATGTCTAATAAACATTCTGTGCCCTATAAAAGAGCAATGAATGCGGAAGCCCATCGCTGCCAAACACGGCCTGTGCGTGTTTATAACCAAAAAAAGGAAAACAAAAAAAAAAGATGAACAAAAGAGAGCCAAGAGCCAAGAGCCAAGAGGCGGAACAACAGCAAAAACATGGCCAAAAGAACAAGAAGCATTAGGAACAACAATTAATATTGTACAAACAAAACACACACACACACACACACACACACACACACACACACACACACACAGCAGGGCATCGGGGGAAATAAAAATAATAATCAGACTTATATCCAGCCGACTTTTTGCACTTTCTCGTTGCAGCTGCCACAAGAACGGCCAAGTGGGAAACAGCAACCGGAGAAACTTTTGCTCCAAAAGGTAAATCTAGCCATAAGAATCAGCATTCAGCAAAAGCTGAGAAAACATTCTTGAAAAATATTCTCATTAAAAGCAATAAACAAATGAGTGAGAGAAGTTGTGGCAGAAAGTCGGAAACCACATAAACATTCAGTTTATATTTTTACACTTCACAAATAGAATCAATAAAATATTTGAAATATTTTTAGTTTATTTATTACAATTCAGAAATATAAAAGCAGGCAGAAACCCCTCTCGCTGTGCGGCAAAGTGCCACCCGGCAACCCAGCTGCAAAATCAATTGTTACAATTCCATAACCATGCAAGTATTCCTTCCCGTAATAAGTACTCTTTACTCTGTTTATACTCTGTATTGTGTGGAGAGGGGTTCAGAGCGTTATTTTTTACGGTCATACGAGTGGCATTACACAATGTCTACGAAGAAAACCGAAGAAACACAAAGAATAGCCCACGCCAAGCCCTTGGCGCTGCAGCGACTCAAGTTTTGCGTCCATAATAATTAGTTATAATCGGATTTAGGCGACACAGAGACTGAGACTAAGGCTGAGGCTGGGGCAGAAGGTGTCGCCAGTGGAGGCAGCAGCAGAGAGAGAGAGAGAGAGAGAGTGAGCAGGGGGTAGACCTACGCCCACACAAGCCACCAGATATAACGGTGGACCACAAAGCAATCAAACGACAGAAGGAAAACCCTGACAACTCTGAGTGGGTCGCTGGTAGCCCCAAATCGGATTCGTATTCGTATTCGTATTCGTATTCGAAATTGGAATCTCAGACATCGGTGCATCGGGTGGGTCTGTTGTCTCTCGGCAGTCGCTGCCTCTGCACCTTTTCGCTGTCGCTGTCGCTGTCGCTGTCACAGGTACTGTCGCCTGCACTGTCTCCGGCTCTGCCTCCGTCGCTTGCGCCGTCTCTGCCTCTCTCTCTCTCTCTCGCTTCTCCACTTCGCCGCTGCATCTGTCGCTGTGTTCATTATTATTGCTCTTTTCTAGCACGTTTCAATGCGCTGTGATTCGAGTCGAATTGAGCAGAGTCTCGCATTGCATCGCCTCTAACTGAATGCACCAACTAAACCCCAACCAAAGCCGCGTCCAAGTTTGTTTTTTATGTGTGGCCCCACACAGCAGAGTGCAGTGCAGAGTGGAGTGGTGGTGGTGGGCCCCACCTGTGTTCCATACCTGTCTCTGTTTGGTTGAAAACAAACACAAAAAAGGTCTCCTGCCTTTCGCATCTGCTGGCTCTTATTTATTGAATTGATTTGTATTTTTGTGGATATTTCTTGTTGTCGATTTAAAATAGGTTTCCCCTTCTTTCCTCTCTCCCCTTTCTCTGTTCCGGATCCCTGCCTGCACTTGCTGCAGTGTCATGTGGTTGGGGCTTGGGGCACAGAATCGTATAACTCAATTAGCCGCATGAAGGCAGGGCACCAAAAAAAAAAAAAAACAAAAACAAACAAAGGACAAAGGAATAATCCATTGCGAGAGCCACAGAGAGCTGAGGTAGCAGCCGGCCAAGATTGTTTATTCTTCTCGTTACGTTGCCGTTCCCCTTGTTCCCCTTGTTCGTTCTTTCGCTCTTTCGTTCTTTTGTGTTGCCCCCCTGCAACCAGGTATCGGGGTGCCCAAAAAAACACAACCAGCGACAGCTGTCAAGTGAAGATTTTACAGATTTTCTGGTCAGGCAATTGTCGTTTTGGCTGGCTGATAATTCGAAAAGAAAACACTACAAAAAAACACCTCAAATGTGAGCCATTTTTGGGGGCGCTAAACTATGGGAACCAGCGGAAATATGTCCATGAAATTTGTAGATAAAGATTAGCTAGGCGCTGCAGTAATTACTTAATAATTCAATTAAATATATGTATATTGTACTTGAAAGCCGTAGAACTGCTTTACCATCGCAGCTTGTCTTAGTTCTTCCGCCAGCAACACCTCTCGAGCTGCTGCTGCTGCTGCTGTTCTCTTACGACATCGACAATCGCATGGCTTCATCTCCAAGCTCTGCGACTGCGACTTCGTCTATGACTTCGACTGCGACTGCGACTGCGACTGCGACTCTAGCTGCTTGCTGTGCTTCGGCTTCGGCTTGGGCTTCGGCTTGGGCTTCGGCTTGGATCGATCCATGTCAAAGCGTCGGCCCACACGCTCTCTGCGCTGCTGGGACAGGGGGCAGCAACGAAACGGAATGAAGTGAAGTGAAGTGAAATAATAAAAAGACAACAACAAAAATGCTTGGATATGTGTGTGGGCGAACTTGGACTTGGAATGGAACTCGAATGGAGCATAAAATATGTTAATAAGGCTTAAAGTTATACAAATCTCGGACTCTCTGGCACTGGCACGGGCACGGGCACGGGCACAGAGATCGCTTGTAATACAAAACCATAAACATGAATTTGAGAAAAATGCTAAAATCAAGTGGAGAAGCTGAAGTCGAACGGGGGAACCCAAAACCAAAAACAAAACCAAAACCCAAACCTCGAACCTCGAACCCCGAACCTGTAGTCGAACCCAATCAGCAGACAGAGACCCCAAAATGCTGTTCGAGAGGCGACAGCTGCTGGCCCGGACTGCCCCAACCAGCCAGCCAGCCAGCCAGTGAGCCAGTCAGCCAGCGGCTTCTTCTTGTCATTGTTGCAGTGACAGAGCCAAAGTATCTTTTCTTGGCCTGGCTTAATTTCCTGCTGCTGCTGCTGCTGCTGCTCCGACCTCAACTTGTTCTGCCCTTGCCTTTTGTTGCTGTCGCGGAGCAAAGAAGAACAACAGCAACAGAAGAAGAGAGACGAAAAAGAAAAAAAGAAACCAACCACGAAATCAGTTAAGTTCAGGTGTTCAATTTACTGATTGAAATTCAGCTTCGATGTGGCCAAGCAACTTTCATCGTGGCTCTCCCCAAACCTCAAAAACCCAAAACCCCAAAGCCCAATCCACAAGACCAGAGACCAGAGACAAGAGACCATATACCCCCCCACCCCTCTTCATTCGAGTGTGTGTGTGTGGTTGTGTGTGTGTGTGTGTGTGTAGCATGTACACCTCGTTCCTGCTCGTCTGCTCGTCTGTCATCATTTTCTCTTATGATTTTATTTGGAGTTTTGGGCTGCTGCTGGGCACTGGCAGCTCGTTGCCTGTCTCTCGTCTGCACATCTATGGGTTTTGTTTCATAATTTTATGCCCGGGCATGTCAGGAATTATGTTAGAATTATGCTAATGAGAGTCAGATCGATTCCAGATGCTTTAATTATACACGGTTAACAAGTTTTTCTTAGTTTTTCTACAGCCATTCGCCTCCTTCCTCCTGAAGCTGCAGAGAATTGATGAATAACTTAACTGGCCCGGTCGCTGGCTCGGTCTTGATATGCTAAGCCATGCTAAGCGTGTTAGCCAACACTGGTCGGGGACTCGGTGGGGGGTTCGGTTCGCTGTCTCGAATTGATTCGAAATTAAATTGATTAAAATTATGAAATCTGAGCTGCGATCGATCGAGTTGTGTGTTTGGCATCTCATCAATCTTTTTCTGGCTTCCCCACAGACTTTCATTGTGTTGAACAATGCTGCAAAGTAGTGTCAAACAATTACAGAAGAAAAACAGACCCCAATTGTTGATGCAACTTTGGCTTAAGTTCCAAGAATTGCTTTAAACATGTACAGTGTTGACTAAGGTATAAGTTTTAAGTGGAGTTAACCAACACTGGCAAACATAACTCCTTCAACAAAATACTCTTCGCACTCCCTGAGGGAAGTATTGATGCATTGTTATTTATTTTTTAAGGGTTGTTCTTTCATTAACCAACACTGTCCTGCAGCTGATTCGTGCTTTGCTCCTTCAACTTTGTATCTGTTGATTGAGTTTTTCCCCTGAAAGGATGAGTGAGAGAGGAATGAACTTTTTAACTGGCGTTTACTGTTGTGTTAACTTTTGCTGACTTTGTAGTCCTGCCAAGGACTTGGTCCCGAGTCTGTCTGTGTGTGGGCCATTAATAGGCGATTTAAGTTTATTTTTTGGCCGTTGCCTTTTTATTGACACTGGACCCGGACCCGGACTGGGGCTCTCTGTGATCCCGGTACTCCATTTAGCCGGGCTTTTGCCTTGAGGGCCCCCACACACACACACACACACACGGATATTTGTCTTGGGCTCTTTTTGGCCTCTTAATCAGACGGAGAGGGAGGGGCATGCCGCTGCCGATGTGCCCCAAATTGAATCCCTGGAAGCCATCATTGTTCGGCCTCATCCTCTTTGGCTCCCACTTCGCTGCCCTCTTCTGCGTTCCCACTTGCCTTTGACTCTGGCTGTGGATCTGCCTTTGGCTTTGGCTTTGGCTTTCTCCTTTTGCCACTTAGCCGTTGCCTTTTAGTTGATTTGTTCGAGCAAACAAATTGTCAACAGAATCGCCCACAAGGAGATACGGTCAAGAAGCGAAAGAAAGGAGGAGAGTCAGATGCAGGGCAGAGGCACACACCAACGCACAAATTGATTTTAATTGTTAAGCATTCCCTTTTTTAATTGTCCTAATCTCTGCCGAACTCTGGGTTCCCTCCCGGTCCGACCATTTCCTCTTTCTCACTCTTTTGGCCTGGCCTCTTCCGTTTTGTTGCCATTTTGCCATTTTGCCATTTTGCCATTTTCGTTTTGTCAGCAAAAGTCCTTTAAGTAGCCTTACTCGTACTTCTCCCCCAGTTTTTTGTGCTCCGCTTTTTGTTGTTGTTGCTGTTTGGTAAAGGGTTAACCGGTCCCCGAAGGGCAGTCTGACGGCTGTTGCATGTGTGTCAGAGAGAGAGAGAGAGAGAGAGAGAGAGAGAGGGAGAAAGGCTGTCAGGAGTAAGGCAGATTGAGGCATCCTTGTTGCGGCTTTCAAGTACAGTCGACACTTTAACTGACAGTTCATGTTGAGGCCTGGCAGTCTCAGAATTCAGATGATGCAGGGAATATATGTACATATGTACAGAATTACATATGTTAATACATATTTACATAAGTTTGTGCTGATTAAAAGCAGTTCGATTAGGTCTTGGACTCAATTAAACAATTGTCAGAGTTGTAAGAATTGTTATCAATAAATGTGTCAAATAAATTGCCAGCTAGTTGGTGCATTTCCATGTACATAATATGTATGTAATTATGTATGTACGCGTAATTACACGCAAACTTTTGCACTGCTTTATGCTGCACTGCTTTTCGTCAATTGTCCGTAGAGTTTGATCGCTATCCCCCGCCGGCAGGCAACTGTTTTGCAGACAAAAGCTGATTGCTTCGCCTTTTCCCAAGATAATACCCGCTTCATGCCGCCAAATGCCAATCACTGGGAAAACAAAAACGAGCCAAGAAATATATCTATAAAGAAAGAAAAAAAACATTTCCGTTCCATGCGCTTTCCGCTCCAGTTTTCAATTTTCGCTGGTGCTCGCCCGTCGCTCGTTGCTGGATGCCAGACCAGACCAGACCAGACCAGATACACAGATACAGTAATTATTTTCAGGCGACGCTTATCACACATAAATCTCGGGCCCGTGGCTCTGTGGCTGTGGCTCCAATCGATGCGGCAGCCCCAGCAGGGGGACCGGGCACAGGCAGAGGCAGAGACAGAGACAGAGGCAGAGGGGCTGAGTTTGAGCAGCTACAGGAGATTGTTGCTTGTTTTGTCAGGCAACTTCCCTCGGACAGTGGGCTTCCTTTTTGCCAGCATGCAACTCTTGGCAGCTGCCTCTCTCCCCCCCTCTCTCCATCGCTCTATCTCTCTCTCTCTCTCTGTCCAGCGCTGACCACAAGATGCTATGGGGCAGCAGCTGCAGCTGCAGCATGCGTGGCCTGGCAGCATCCTTTAATGCCCAGCATCTGTTGTGATATTTATAGTTGCAAGTTGCAAGTTGCAACTGAAACTGGAACTGGTAACTGGGGAACAGGTGCTAAGGCAACGCCCGACAGCACTCCTACCATAGCGAGGAGCTGCCTGGCCCAAGCAGTGCAGGGATCGTGTCACGCAGCGCAGTCGCTGCACTGCTGCAGAATCTCTGCCGCTGCCGATCGCTGCGACTAATTACGATATTTCCCCTCCCTTTTGCACGCGAAACCCGTTTGCACGTTTGTTCGTTCCTACGTCAAGCCTCTCTTCGCTGCTGCTGCTGCTGCTCGCTCTCTTCGGCTTCCACACTTCGGCTGCAGCTTAGGCGCTCACTTCGCTTCGTTTCGTTTCGTTTATTAGATGCAAGCTGCGGCGGATGTGCAGCTTCCTTCTACGGCCAGCAGAGACTTTTGTCATTTACAGTTTATCTTGTGCTTTCGCCGCCTCTCCCTCTCCCTCTCCCGCTCCAACACACGCTTTATGGCTCTACCTACGCCTCACTCTCTCGCTCCACTCCACTCCACTGCTAGGCACGTCGAGAGTGGCTCTCATAAATCAATAAAGAAAGGCCCACCTGGTACAAATAACTTTGAAAAATTTATATTGAACACTCGCCTGCCCTCGCCTTCCCCCGCCTAGCCGCGACTTGGTCTTGGACTTGGGCAAAAGTTTTCGGCATACGCCGACCACTCCCCAGCTACAGCCACAGTCCCAGTCCCAGTGCCAGTCCCAGTGCCAGTCCCAGCAGGTGGGCCTCGGCTCCCCCCTCACTCAAACTTGAGTTTTAGTTTTTTGTTTGAGTTTAGAGAGTGTAAGAGGGGAGCGGGAGGGAGAGAGGCCAATTGCAGCTGCTACTGCTATGGCTTCCAGGGGTTACAGGAGCCAACAGTTCCCCACAGCTACTGTGCACGGACATGGCCAATGAGTGGAGTTATTTGTACTGTTGGACCAGCGCCCACTCACCCTTCTGCATCGCTTGTAGGTGAAAGGATGTTGCACTTTTCCAGCTTAAATAAAGAAAACTCTTTCGTTAAATTCTTCAGATTGTGCCTTAAATCAAACTTCCTTCAATCAACATTCCGTAGGGGGAATTCCATCGAAAAAAGATAATCAATTACCCCCGCACCACCGCAGAGCAGATAGTTGGAATCGCTCAGAAGAGTTGATGAAACCGAATCTTTATCGCCCATAAAGCAAGTAGAGAGAGAGAGAGAGCAGCAGCAGAGAGAAATGCTGCTCCAATGCTGGAGCTAGCGTGTCTATAATCGCCTTTAATTACCTAACCAAACGCAGCGTCATCAGAGTCCGAGCCCCCTCCCCAGTCCCCCAATTCCAATTCCAAATCCCAGCTTCATCTTCTTTGCCTGGGCCCCTTCTGTGCTCATCATCATCATCATCATCATCATCATCATCTTCTGCAGTTTGGGTCTGCGCTCCCACAGCCTCATGTGGATTTGGATTTCAACTTTAATTTCGAGTCATTTCCAGGGGCACCGCCTCCCCGTCCGTCCCCCTGCTGCTTTAGGTTCCGTTTTGTGGACTCTATGCCGGAACGGAAGCTTCGCTAATCTTTTGCCTCCGTTTGCATCTTTTAGGTGGTTTTTTTTTTTGGTTTATTTTTTACGGACCTTCGCTGTGCACCTTCTGTGCTGCTCTTCGGCGCTTCTATTTTTTATTTTCTGTTATAATTTCGTTTAATTTGTGTGTGCATATGTGCGTGTGTCGGGCGCCAATTTCCGTATAAATGCAATAAAACCGAAATAATAGCGTACAAGAAAACGAAATTAGTCGAAAGGCCCAGCCAGCCAGCCAGCCAGCCAGCCAGTCACTGGCGGAAGCGAACCACAAAGAAGCGAAATAGAAATAGAAACAACAAAAACAAAAACCCAAACGCCATACAGAATATACAGAAAGAAGAAGTAGCACCCCACCCCCCAAGAAATAGTAAAACGCTAGTTACAGGAAAAACAAAAACAAAACCAAAAACAAAACAACAACAAAAATGCGTGAGAAAATGCCAGTGGAGCCGGCACCTGTACATCGAATCAGCAGCAGAGCCTGCGACGACAGCTACAGCAGAAGGGAAACACTTGTGCACTGAGCGAAAAGAAAGGCGAAAAGCTGGCAAATAATTCAATCTAAATATACAAAAATAGTGGCATTGACTGAAGTTAACTTTCATTGAATCCGAAAAATATTCACTCTAAAAAGTCTTTGCAATAAAAATGAAAACACTTGAAAATAAATAATTAAAAATATGAAATTCTCCCTGTGCACTGTGAGGTGTGCGGCGGTTGGAGCTGTGGAGCTGCTCGGGCTTAAATAAATACGTTGTGGGGTAGTGCCGGTTGATTGGTTGAGATTGTGCTTCATGCGATATATTGTAGCTGCAATTTATTAAGCAAATCTCCCAAATGGCACTCGAGCTGGAGCTGGAGCTGGAGTGGCGGTGGCAGTCCATGGTGAGAACAAGCCTCTCAGATTGAGTTACGCAAAAGAATGATGGCACAGATGTTCCATCGAGATTATTGATAAATATTGTATGTACATGCCCCATAGATTGTCAGCTGAAGCTGCCATGGAAATTCTTTATTTTTGCCCCCCTACGGTTCAAAGGAAACCCTCAGACATCAACTCAAAGACCTCCGTCCCAGCCACTGTCTGTCTCGTTAGAATATTTTCATAGCTCTGCGTTTGTTGTTGTTTTTTGTGTGTGTTTTACATACGAATATTTGCGTGAATATTTACCAAGATTTTTACACATCGTAAACCCGTTTGCGTCTTCTCTTTTTTGTGTTTGCTTCTTCCCCCTTGCGTCACCACCTCCCGCACCCCCTTCCCCTCCAATTTTTTTTCCCCCCCCCCCCCCACCACCCCCCGTCGAGCAGCTGCTTTGACTAATTTGAATGTAATTCGCTTTGGCGCTCACGTACTCCGGGGTCCGGGGTCCGGGGTCCGGGACCGGGCAACGTGAATAAAACCAAATAAAATGCGAATACAAATAAAAATGAGTATTCAAAAATACACGAGCGCTAACAGCGAACCGAAAACATAAACAGAAACACGCAAAAAAAATAAACACACACACAGCAAACGGCGCACAATAAACGCAATAATAAGTAATAGGACCCTGAAGCAATTGTTCCGTTTGTGGCCCCCCCACCAACAAATTTGTACAACAAAATGCGCGAAACATAGAGCCAACCCCAAACAAAAGGGGCACAAAAAAGAGGTACACAAACCCCACAAAAAAAGACACCAAACAAACAAATAAATAGATATGTGAACAAGAAGAAAAGACAACTTTTGGTGTGGCTGGCGCCTGGCTCCAAGGCTTGGGCTGAGTGGGTTCCGCTTTGAATCATAATAATAATTATAATCGCTTGTTGATTGCCAAAAAATGCAGCCAAAAATCAAAAAGACTTTAATTAAGTTGCAAAAGCCACAAGCCATCAATCAAGGCTAAATGAATGCCAAAGACGTTTTGAGGCGTTTAAGTGCAGAAATGCTGCCACAAGTGGCAGAGAATAATGCAGCTAAATTGTTAATCATTTTAACAACCTAAAGTTAAAGAATTAATTAGCCAAGTTCCAACTAAATTAGATGCAAATATCGTTAGAGAATTGTAGGCCTGAAAATGTATATTTTGTTGTACAATTTTTAATGTTTTTATTTAGGTTTAGGGCGCAAAATCCAAGACAAAGACCAAGCAACTCAACGGCAAAATATTTCTGTTTCATTTCTTCCCGCCAGTGTCTGTTGCAGCCACACGGATGATGCAGCGACACGCGATGATGAGGCTGATGCTCCCCCTGCCCCCCCTGCTGCTGCTGCTGCTGCTGCTGACGTCAGTGGCCGACGCCTCACCCTTTACGAGCTATCAGAATCAGCGCTTCGCGATGGAGCCGCAGGACCAAACGGCCGTTGTGGGTGCCCGCGTCACACTGCCCTGCCGCGTCATCAACAAGCAGGGCACCCTGCAATGGACCAAGGATGACTTTGGGCTGGGCACATCGCGAGACTTGAGCGGCTTCGAGCGCTATGCGATGGTCGGCAGCGACGAGGAGGGCGACTACTCGCTGGACATTTACCCCGTGATGCTCGACGATGATGCGCGCTACCAGTGCCAAGTGAGTCCCGGGCCCGAGGCACAGCCAGCCATACGCTCCACGTTTGCTGGGCTCACGGTGCTCGTGCCGCCAGAGGCACCGAAAATAACCCAAGGCGAGGTCATCTACGCGACGGAGGATCGCAAGGTGGAAATTGAGTGCATCTCGGTGGGCGGCAAGCCGGCGGCTGAGGTGAGTTCAACATCGAGTCGAGACTTGCCACAGGCCACAATCTTTTCCTTTTGTGTGTGTGCAGATTACATGGATCGATGGCTTGGGCAATGTGCTGACGGATAACATTGAGTACACGGTGATGCCGCTGCCCGATCTGCGACGCTACACGGCCAAGTCGGTGCTGCGGCTGACACCCAAAAAGGAGCACCACAACACGAACTTCACATGCCAGGCACAAAACACGGCAGACCGCACATATCGTTCGGTGAAAATACGTGTCGAGGTAAGCCCCGGGCAGCTCCTGGCTGAGCCTACTATCAAAATGTTACGTGATGCCAATGAAAGGGGGCAACCTGACGAGCTAATTCATGCCACAGAGTGTCCCTACTGTGCGTGTGGCAAAGCCCTGATGAAGTTGTCGAGCGACACAATTGACTGACGCCCAAAACTCTCCTTTCCCTTTGCTCCATTCGCAGGTGAAGTATGCGCCCAAAGTCAAGGTGAATGTGTTGCCAGCAGGAGCGGCAGGAGCTGTAGGATCAATCAACCAACGCATTGTGGAGCACTCTCAAGTGCGACTCGAGTGCCGGGCCGATGCCAATCCCAGCGATGTCCGTTATCGTTGGTACATCAACGACGAACCAATTATTGGCGGTCAAAAAACTGAGATGGTAAGTGGCTGCCCAGTTGAACATTCCAGCAGCAGCGAGGCAGCAGCGAGGCAGCAGCATAATTAGAGCAACTATTGCGATAAAAATGTTGCTGCCACAAGTGCCACAGGTTGTTGTATAATGTTACCCCAAGACCAGCAATTATAGGAACCAGTTCAGGCTCGGGACTGGCAACCGGAAAGGCTTAACGTTCCCACAATTTTAGCCAGCTATTAAACAGATCTCTTACCCCACTCTGTGCTCCCCCCCCCAGATCATACGCAATGTGACGCGCAAGTTCCACGATGCCATTGTCAAGTGTGAGGTGCAGAATTCTGTGGGCAAGAGCGAAGATAGCGAAACTCTGGACATCAGCTGTAAGTAGAGAAGTAGAGGCGCACACACACACGAAATGAGACACAAATCTGGACTCCCTTCCATACAGATGCCCCCAGTTTCCGGCAACGTCCACAGTCCTTGGAGGCAGACATTGGCAGCGTCGTCTCGCTCAGCTGTGAGGTGGACAGCAATCCACAGCCGGACATTGTCTGGATCCAGCATCCAAGCGATCGGGTTGTCGGCACCAGCACCAACCTCACATTTAGCGTGAGCAACGAGACGGCCGGACGCTACTATTGCAAGGTGAATGTGCCGGGCTATGCGGAGATCACAGCGGATGCCTATGTCTACCTGAAGGGTTCTCCGGCCATCGGATCGCCGCGCACACAATACGGACTGGTGGGGGACACGGCGCGGATCGAGTGCTTTGCCAGCAGTGTGCCACGGGCTCGTCACGTCTCCTGGACATTCAATGGGCAAGAGATAAGCTCCGAGTCGGGACACGACTACTCCATTCTGGTGGACGCAGTGCCCGGCGGTGTGAAGAGCACGCTGATCATAAGGGACAGCCAGGCGTACCACTACGGCAAGTACAACTGCACGGTGGTCAATGACTATGGCAACGATGTGGCAGAGATCCAACTGCAAGCGAAGAGTAAGTAAATCGATTTACTGTTCGACTTTCCAGAGATCACTTTGTGCCCCTTTCCCTCCCTCCCTCCCTCCCGCCGCGTAGAAAGCGTCTCCCTGTTGCTCACCATTGTGGGTGGCACTTCCGTGTTGGCATTTCTGCTGCTGCTCACCATCGTTGTGGTCGTTTATTTGCGCTGCAAGAAGCGCACAAAGCTGCCACCAGCGGATGTCATCAGCGAGCATCAAATCACGAAAAATGGCGGCGTCAGCTGCAAGCTGGAGCCCGGCGATCGCACCTCCAACTACAGTGATCTCAAGGTGGACATTTCGGGTGGCTATGTGCCCTACGGGGACTACAGCACACACTACAGCCCACCGCCACAATACTTGACCACTTGCTCCACCAAGTCCAACGGCAGCTCCACCATCCTACAGAATAACCATCAGAACCAGCTGCAACTGCAGCAGCAGCAGCAGCAGCAGCAGCAGCATCAGGGTCACCAGAGTCATCATCATCATCAGACCGCTCCAGGTCAGAGTTTGCCGATGACTTTCCTCACCAACAGCAGCGGTGGCAGCCTCACGGGTAGCATCATTGGCTCCAGGGAGATACGACAGGAGAATGGGCTGCCCAGTCTGCAGTCAACGACGGCCTCGGTGGTCAGCTCCTCGCCAAATGGCAGCTGCAGCAATCAGAGCACCGCCACAGCCACAGCCACTGCCACCGCCACCACACATGTGGTGGTGCCTAGTTCCATGGCCTTGAGTGTGGATCCGCGCTACAGCGCCATCTACGGCAATCCATACTTGCGCTCATCCAACTCTTCGCTGCTGCCGCCACCCACAGCGGTCTAAGCTCCAGAAGCGGAATGGAAGCCACAGCCCACGCGAAGACTGATCTCAAGGGACACGGCATCCTGGATCGTTCAATGGGGTAAGGACTTAGGGCGGTGTACGACGGGCGCCCATTGGAAGATTTCTTTTCTTTTTCAGCAACCAAAAATTTGAATCAATTAACTTAAAGATTTAGCTTAGGGACAGTGAGAGAGAGAGAGAGAGAAAGAGAGAGAGCGCTTTCTTCTAGGTAAGACAGACACATCCTTGGCTTGCATTTTGCACTACATTTTCCTGCCGTTGCTTGGATCCCCCAAACCTAGGCTAAGCGCAGTTCTAACTAAACAGAGACTAAGCTTCTAAGGAAAACAGTGTTAGGCAGCAACAGAGAGACAGTGTTAGGAAATGACTTGAAAAAGAGAAAATACGCGCCAGTTCGCGGGCATTTGTTGCGGGGTTCCAATTTGCATCATTCAACACAATCCAATCTCTCATTTTAAACCTTTTAATAAATATTTTATATGTTGTTTCAACAGTTAAATGCTATTTTTTGCAACAATTTCTACGCTCAGTTTTTGCATCTTAGTTGCCCTTAAATATCCTCAAATAAGTCCAACTAAAATCTTTCAAAAAGCGCAAAGAACAAATGCCCAAGAAATGCGCAAAAAAAGAATGAAAGAAAGAAGAATGTAGAGCATAAATGTATGCTATGAAAAGCAAATGCAGTAGCCATTAAGCGAAAACATAAAAAAATTAAAAAATGCCAAAGTACCTGATAGTATTTAAGTAGAGTGAAAGCCAGCGACACTCAACAATTACATTTTTTAAAAATTAATTCTATTACATAAATAAATATATATATATGTATTTTTTTTTGGAGACTAAGCCTAGAGGTTAAGTTTAAGGTATAAAAACGAAAATGCTAGTTGTTAGTAATTTGAGAGTCGCCTTAACTTATGACACGCCCATATGCCCCTGCAGCTAAGCAACTAAGAGATAGAGAAAGGGAGAGCGAGACGCGAGAGCGAGAACATGTATTCAATTTGTCAGTTCAATTGTGGCTAAGTGGCTAAGTGTACTTCTAAGTGTATTAACGGTCTAATTATCCTAGTTGTAGCCACACACCAACACACACATCTCTACACATAATTATGCTATATACACATACAATTATATACATAAATACATACATATACATACATACATTAGAGCTCGCTACATACATTTACATAAATAAAATATATTTACCATAAATATCTAGAGTTAGGTTTTTTTTTTGTCTGCCTAGAACTGTAAGCATTATATTTTGATAAAAGAAACAAACAGAAACGTTCAGTGTTTAAATCTTTGGTGTAGTTCTTTTTGTAACAACTGTACCCAAGCCCCCTGTAAAAGCCCTTCCTAGCGTACAGTTTAGTTACAACAAATGCAGAAAGTACAGCAAATTATAAACAACAAATAAGCTACAGAAAAAACACAACAACAACAACAACAACAACAACAACAAACACAAACACAGCAAGTTAAACACGCGAACAAAAATTAAATAAAATGTATTGAAAAAGAAAAACGAGCGAAAAATGTGTAAAAATCATTTGGAATTTGACATCAAAGCGCTGAGCAAAGACAAATAAGCGTTGGGGCGAGGAAAAACATTTTTAATTTCAGCCAGGACATGGACGTGGACAGGACACAGCTCCGAACCGGAAAAGGGAGTTGAGTCCGGGCAGGGGCCATGGCCAACTGTCAGGCAAACTGCAAAAAGCCAAAAATCAAACAAACAAAAGTGAAATTAAAATGTTGGCAGGCCACCAAAGCCAGCCAGCCAGCAGCAGTGGTCATGTGTGTGTGTGTGTGTGTTAATTTATGACCAGTTGGAGTCAGTCTCTCGCACTCGGAGTGCCCAGAGTTCGCAGTGTTGGAGGTCAGAGTTGACAATGCAAACAAACGGCTCGCTAAGCTCGACTAAAAATGCTTAATGAGAGTGCGTAAGGGTAGCTGCCACCCACACACACACACACAAAACACACACACACACACTCACTCGGGTCCGAGTGTTGGCCACAAGAAATTCTGCGGCTGCGGCAACAAAGTCGCGCACGACGCCCATTAAACTAAATTAGTTGCCCTTTGTCACAGAGCGACCCTCGAAGCTGTCACACATGTTGGTCGCTGCTGCTGCTGCTGCTGCTGATGTGGGGGGTGGCTGGAAATTGAGTGGCCTGGCATGGATGGTAGGTGCTGGCAAGGGGGGGGGG